ATTGGTTTGGTCTCCGGAGTCAGCATCAAAGGCTTACATTGATACCGTTAAATCGGTAAGTTTTATATTTTCCGGTAAAAATTCCGATGAATCGTACCGGAATAACCGAACTTTCTTGGTTTCTTATCATTCACAAGAACGAATAAAGATTCGATTTTTCCCCCTGTTCTCAAAAACCCATATCTTAATTCCGATTATGTATTCGTGATTCGTTCATGTAATGATCTGTTTTTTCATTTCTCTGTTTTGGTTTCAGTGTGAAAATCTTGAAACACCAGACGCGGCGGAGCTAATAGCGGCGATGGCGGCTGGATGGAACGCGAAAATGATCGTTGAAACATGGTCAGACGGAGACGCAATAGCTTCAAGTATAGGCTTAAACGTCGCAAGCCAACACGCAAACGCTAAACACATATGTATTGTACAAAACTCAAGATCAGAATCAGCTTATCTCCAAGCTATTCAAGAATCATCATCATCTCCTTTAAACTTACCAGAGACGATAATCGCCGAAGAAGAACCTGAAAACGCGATGAAAACTCTACAAGGAATCGATTTCTTGGTCGTGGATTGGCGAAACAAGGAATTCGCAGCGTCTGCGTTGAAAAACGCTGCGTTTGGAAGCAGAGGAGCGGTTGTGGTTTGTAGAAACGGATACTCGAGAGGCTCTTCGGGTTTTAGCTGGAGAAGGGCTTTAAGAGACCGGAAAGTTGTGAGAACGGTGACTCTTCCGGTCACCGGAGGTATTGAGATTGCTCATGTAGCGGCTAGGAACTCAGGGAGGAGTGAGAAGAGTAAGAGAAGATGGATCACACATATTGATCAGAGATCAGGAGAAGAACATGTGTTTAGTATTTAGAAAAGTAAAAGAGATAAAAGACAATTGTGAGGAAAATGTTTATTTTTTGGATCTTGTATTTCTCTATTTGTACTTACTTGTACATAAGAAGATTTCCATAGATGCCATTGTAATTGGAAAAAAGTTACATACTTGTCTTGTAAATTTTAATCTTTGTGTTATATAAGAAAGCTTTGCATGTATGTGTTAACAAATTGAGCAAGACTACTACTATATCTGTTTTGTCTTTCATCTTTGTCTCAGAGAATAGAAGAATCATGTTGGGGAAAATGAACACTAGTGATGGGCTTTAAAACAGTTTTAATTAGGAGTTATTGAGCCCATCCACGTCGTAACATTCCATGACTTGTGGAAAAAACTAGAAACCTATAAATGTAATCACTTCCTTGACTTTTGCGTCAAGAAAAGTAGTTGGGTTTCCCACATAAATGTTTAAGAAAATGACCTAGAAGTGATTTGAAATGTATGTTCGTTGCCGACGGGGATAATATCCTTTTTATACGCATTTGCTTCACATGCGACAATCCGTGGAAAAAAAAATCTTTTAACTCAAACCAATTTGCGATTAGTGGATTAACATATGTTCTTTGTATATATCCATTTTCATTTTAGATAAGATATTTTAACAAGTTTCATAGAGGAGACAAACCACTGCAAAGTACAAATATTTCATCGAATTAATCAAATACCGTTTGATATCATTTTAAGTAGACTTCTAGCTTAAAACACATTGACAATAACCAGATTAAGCTTGAAAACAAACTTCGAACTCATGTTAGATCATGTTCGTCTACGCCCTGATTTTTGTTAGTTTCCAAGATCCATAAGTGACTAGAACGAAACATGAACAGCTACAGAATTGAAGCTCAAAAATCCTAGTTATATTTCCGGTCGAAGGAAATGTAATACAGCATGGGTTCGGTTTAACCCATTTCTTGGTTTTCGTTGGACCCCAACGGGCTGGCTAAACCAAAACTACTAAAAATCAATACATACTATTTTTTTGTGGAAATTGTTTTGTTACATTATTCAAATAGAAATTTTGATTTTGTTTGATAATGGAAAAAGTGAGAAATGTACCATGAGGAAAATACAAGATAAGATGGGCTAAAAACAGATGACGCTTGCGTTTGTCGTGAACCGAAGTTCCCTGCGGTGCTGGGCTGTCCGGATCCTGAGCGGTCTGACCGATTATACGATCACTATTATTATCATCTCAAATTTATTATAAAAAAAAAAAAAAAAAAAATGAAACCCCAAAAAAAACAAAAATTTAATTAAAATGCGAAAAGATGATAAACAAATAAATACAAAAATAAGAAAAATAGGGGAAGTTAATGAGAAAGGAGGTAAGGAGGCGTCACGTGCACATGATCCAACCGGTGAATAGAGACATGTCACGCAAAGTCAGCCAATTTTCAGAGCTCAAAAGCCAAAACCATAAACTCTTTCAAAATTTATTACTTTTTGGACGATCTTACCCTCTCGTTATCCCATTTATTACCTTCACATGCCCCTTTTTCACTCTTTTTGTGTAAAACTCATAAGGAAAACTAAACAAATAAAATGAGAAGACCAAAAAAGAAAACAAATCAAGCAAGATTGCATTTAACCTTTTTCCGGTAAATCATGTAATGGAAGAAATTTTTGTAAGCAAATCTCATACTAGTATTTACGATAGACAATCATCATAATATGGTTTAGTTATCAAGTGATCAAGGTCAATTGGCATAATAGAAAAAACAAAAAAAAAAATCAAATATGCAGTTTTTTTAACGTCTAGACTTTTTTATCGTCTATAAATCACATATGCACATTTCCGAATTTAAATTTGGATTATAATACAATAATACCCGGTCCATTTCAAAATGTAAAATGTTTTGGAAGTTTTTTTTTTCAAAATGTAAGATGTTTTGACAATAGTACGTACTTTTTCACTTTATTGAATATTGTGTGACTACTAGTATTTTCTGTTATTGGTCTACATTAGATATATATTTTGAGTACTTTTTAGAAGAAAAACAGTTTTTTAATATCCGCGTTTTTAGCTAAAACATCTTATATTTTGAAACAGAGGGAGTATAAAATTATAAATCACAAATCTCGATATTCATTTCTAGTACTTAAATACATATTTGTTTAAAATTAGATATTTTCTTAAGCCAATCCAATGGTTTTGATCTTTGCTCTAAATAAATTATGCATTGGCAATCTATATTCCATAAATTAGTTTCAATTCGATAAGAAACCTTCGGTTTATAACCTATTTTTCCTGGAATATTTATAGTTATATAGAGTACCCTTTTTTCTCTATTCTACAATAGTATCACCTTAGAATGCTGAAAACTTCATTAATCAAAATGCTTTTTTCCCTGTACTTTCTCAATTCTCATGCTTATTCATTAACTTCAAAACCACAATCACATGAAAGATAGAATGAGAATTAAAGTTAGGAGCTGAAGGAGAAGAAAGATCTAATGAATAAGGCAGACCAATCTAACAAGCCATAGGCCAAAATATGTTTTTGTTTGGTAATGTGGGTCAACCAATCTCATAAATGAGTTAGCTGGATTTGCATTTGATGCTCTTCTCAGGAATTTAATGTGACAATTCCCCCTACTCTATATTTATTACTAAGCAACAAATAATAAATACAATTTTTTTCATATCTCATTCTAAGCGATTTGATGTATATGTTTTCTTACCTATATCACGAGATCTATTAATTAATTATTGAACTTCGTATCTAAGTGGTTTATTTAAGAATCACCATGATGGAAGTAATGAACAATGGTATACTTCGCAAGAGGTAACAGTAACTATTCAAATAACTAGAAGAAGTGAATTTACTAAATTGAAACGATCAAATCAACTAATTTCTTAAATGAAATTGAAAAATCTTGGTACAACATTGTAGTTACTGCCATGAACATTTAAAAGCTAAATCAATCAATAATGTAATTTTGTTTATTGTACGAACCGGAACCCTCTAGCAAATTCGCATTTCAAATACAATTATAAGCTTCTGTGTCATTTAAAAAACCAATCTTCTTTATAGGTTATCATTACCAAACTTAATGCTAAAGATATGATTCACTATATATATTTAATCATTTTTTATTTTTGTAGTTTCCACTATAAGCTGTGTCTTTGTGCAGTTTCCACTATAAGCTAGTGTATGTTGATTTGAATGGAAGCAGAATTCGAATACAAACCAAAACTTGCAAACATCAAATCTATATGCAATCCAATATGCATTTATTGAAAGCAAATTTTTGTAAACTTTGTATAAAAAGGAAAAAGATTGGAAAAAAAAAAGAAAAAAAGTGCTTACAACTCTTTTTCCATGATGGTGTGATTGTCGTTACTCGTTACCCCATAAATGCAGACCTACGTGTATGTATAGCTTTGTTTGTATATTTTGTATAGTTTACGTCTAGCAAGACATGCAAATCTAATCAAAGTAGTCGGTTAATCAATAAACTCATAATGTAAATTTATTTAAATTTTTGTAACCTTGTGTGTATATATTTATCAGCAAGATAAAAGGTCATTTTCTGTTACCAAATAAAAAATTAAAAGTTATTTTCTTACGTCAATCGTGTGTACACATTATCTTTAATACAAGAGTCTCATGCATTCGTTATATTTACATACAAAAGTTTGTGGGTATCTATAAAATGAAAATTACCTTTTAGCAAAACTCTCTCTGGGTTGTTTCAGAAGAAATGATCACAAGCTGACAAGGTGAACAATAGATGAACCACAAGAGAGGAACTTAAACTTCCCTTTACATATCCAAGAAAACTATAATAATTACGTTTCATATCTACACACACATAGGCACACGTAAATATTTGAGTTACAAAATTGAAAAGTGTTGGCAAAGAAGTGACACGAGATAAGTGATACTTATGAGATAGGCATTAAAAGCAAAACTGTACAATTATCTCGACAAGAAATTCAAACTTTTGTTCTGTAAGTAATATTTTCTATATCTTTATAGATTGTGTAAAAAATAAACCGGTAAAATATTGTTATCACCAATTAAATAACTAAATTGATATATTTTAAGAGCTCTTATCACACTACATTTTGTGTCACAAACAATTGTTGCATACTATTGTCATATAAACTTGAACATTTATATTTTTTTAAAGTTTATATGACAATATATTTCTACAATAGGAGATTTTTTTTGTGTGGTAACAATAATACAAAGAAATAATTTTATCTTTTGCAGAGTATATGAAAATTGTCTAATAGAGCAACGACAACAAAACATGTCTATTAGAGCATAGTCTTCATTTTGGTTTTAGCTTGAAACTAAGATGGAAACAAATTTAATATTTTGACCAATCTTACCCGCCACAAAAACCTAAATAAAAAAATATGGAATCATCATTCTACCATTATTCTAGTACCTCTTTTTTTTTTTTACAAATTGACTTGCTAATAAACTATATCATCATGATACAGCAGTGGGTGCATATATAAAAATAAAAGTGAGATATTAAAGCCAAAAAAAAAAAAGAGCAAAGGAGAAAAAAAATGG